GCCAGCAGGGTAATGTGGAGCATTTGGCCCCTGGCCTCTCCTCCTGAGGTTGGGGTGACTGGAAGTGCCCATGCTCCCCAGGGCTAGTATTGGCCTGCTCTGCTCCTTCTGCCAGCCTCAGTCAACCTTCCACCACAGTGACAGGTCTGCACCCCTCCCTGCGTGGGTGACGTACTCTTTGAGAACGCCTTGACAGTGTCTTTGTTCCTCTGAAATAAAAGAAAATCGAGCTACAAAGGGAAACCTCAGGTAGCTTTTAACGGGCTCAGCTGCCTGGGGCAGAGTGTGTTCAAGCTGGAGGCAGTTGTCGCGGGAGCAGAAGGGGGAGCCGCCTGCAGCCCCCAGCCGCCCCCTTCTCAGGGGGGAGCCCCCACAATCACGTTCACTCAAGGAAAAGGCTCTTTCAAAGAGTGGCAAAGGAGAAAATCAATGAAAATTGATAGAGAAATGTAAAGCAGCTGTCTGCTGTGTGTATGTGTGTGTGTATGTGTGTATGTGTGTGTGTGTGTGTGCATGTGCCCGCAAGTGCAACATGCGCGTGCACACGCATGTGCCTGCTTGTGAGGGCACAGCCTGAGCAGAACATGCACCCTAGACCCTGGATGAATGCTGACCTGCTTAGGGCTCAAGACCAAGGAAGGTGGGGGCTGGGATGATGCCTGGCACATGCCAGTGGAGGGGTCCTGGTGGCTGGGGGGAGGGGCGGCAGCCGAGTCTCTAACTCGAGTTAAGAGAGAGATTAATATATTCAATCTGCTCCAGGGTAATTGAGGGAACAATTGGAGTGTTTTTCTAAAGCCTATAAAACTGCCTCATTTGCAAGGAGGGGCCGCGGGGCTGCAGGTCCTCATATTTAATGGAGGCAGGAAGAGCAGAGGAGGGGAGGCTTTGGGGTCCCAGCATGAGGGGCTGGGGGGGTGGGCATCAGCCCGAGAGGGGACTGGCAGTCCTGGTCCAAGCGGCTTTCACCTTCTTCAGTTCCTGCCACTTCGTTGGTTAGCTGCCCAAGCAGTGTTTGGGAGCCTGTTTCCCGACCTGTGAAATGGGCCTGGAGCAGCTGAAGGGAGGCTGCTCAAGACCCAGGAAGCCAGCCCACAAAAGGGCTGGCACCGGGGTGAAGGGGCACGAACAAAGAGGTGCCCGTCTCCCCAAGCCAGGCCAGTCCCCTGAGATTCAACGGGCAGTAAAGAGTAAAGTTAATGAAATCCGCATTGTGCGCCCCTCCCGGCTTGAACCATTTTAGTCTCCAGGGCAATAGAAATAGCTTAGGCAATAGTGAGCAATAAAAGACATAATGAATTTAAAAGCAGAGCAGAGACTGGAGAGTGAGGACTCTGCAGTGCTCTGGCCGGGAGGCGGGAGGGTGCCTGGGGTGGGGAAAGTGCAGGCCTGGAGCTCCCGCCAGAATCTAGACAGGGACCGACAGGCGGGATGGGGGATGGGGACAGGGAGGAACAAAGGGAGGACATCCGACACCGACACCGAGGTGTAGGGACCGAGGGCAGAGGGGACTCTAGGCAAGCCACTAACAGCTCTGTGGCTGTTCTCCGTTCCCCTCCATTTCTCCTTAATGAAAGTGCCCCAGCCTGTGGACGCCAAATCCACAATCAGAATTCACAGGCTTAGAGCCAGGTGCTTGGCATTTGGTGATTGCTTTATTAGCTTTTTCTTTCATTTTTCCCCTCTGGGGGCTGGGGAAAGGTGTTTTAAATGGAAAGAGTAAAAAGAAAGCAAGAAAAAAAAAAAAAAACCCTTGAAAGTGCCATTTAAAACGCTCTTGGAAAACCCAATTGCTTCCATGAAACAAAACTGCAATTGTTTGAAAGAGGTAACTGCTGGGGGAGGGAGCCCACCACGCCCTCGCTCTCCTCCTCCCTCTGAGCCTGGAATCTAGAGCTCCCAGCCATGTGGGAGGAAGCTTGGGGCCTCCAAGGTTCAACACTGATTGAGCCGCTAGGAAGGCTCCCAGAGCTAAGAACAGGGAATTTTTAAATTCATGTTTTCAGATATTTTATCCCTGGGAATTTCCAGTCCAAAGTTTCCCTCTTAAACAGCTCTGCCCCAGGGAAGTAGTCCTTGAAACTTCAGAGATCTTAGGAGACGGGAGTGAGGTTTCTGGAGGGTCAGCCTAATGGTTCCAAGCTCAAAGCTGCTGTGGCCTCCCCAGGTCCTCCCACAGAGGTCATTTGCCCTCCCAGGAGTTCAGCAGAGTCACCTCTGATGGCCCCTTGATCAAGCCTCCCCTGCATCTTCCTGCTGTTTCCTGAGGCTGGAGCACCCACTCTGCCCAGTGCAGGCCACCTCCTTGTGGTCTGATAACTCCCCCTTACCATTGGACAAGGAGGGGCAGGGTATGGGGTGGCCAGATAGTCTCAAAGCTGCCAAGAGATGACAGTGGGCAGTGTCAGGGAGTGGGCTGTGTGGAGGGTTGGGGTGGAGGCTCCACCCACTCAGGAAGCACCATGTGCCTATGGCTGGCAGGGAACCTGGAGTGGTTGCCCTTCCATGCTGAGAACCCTTGGTAGCCCCTGCTAGCAAACACCCAGTGCCCTCTGGTGGGTCAGGGGTCCTAGGAGTGATCTTCATCCTAGCATATGATTGTTTCACACTGAAAATATTTAAGGGGATAGTCCTTCTTAGCCCTACATTCCTGTGGTTATTTAGGGCCCAGTAACCTGTTGGGGCTGAAAAACAAAGTGATTCTGCTTCAGTCAGTCCTTGAAGTAGGCCCTGGTCACCTACTGAACCCTGCCTCTGTTCCCTACTTATCCTTGAGCATCCTAATCATGGCTTTCGCAATCGCCTGCACTTCATGCCTCCCTCTACCCCCACTCCACTGCCCAGCACCATGACCATCATCAGTTCTGGCTGAAAAAATGGCAAACACTATGCAAATTAGAGAACAACTTGTGAGCCTACAATACAGTCCTAAATCAAATAAATAGAGTCAACTGTTGAAATGCCTAGTGCAGACAGGACTGAGAGTAGCCTGAAAGGGATGAAACCAATTCTGGGAAAGCTTCCTGGAGGAGGTGGCCTTGAATTTAGATTTTGTATCTGGAGCCCAGAAATCCATTCCTAGACTTGACCTGAACATTGCTGAGGTTGGGCTACATCCCAAGAATGCAATCTTCTCCTGTCATCTCTAGCCTTCCTGCTTCAGGCCTTTCCTCCTGTTGTCCCTGCCCTCCCAATTCCGGCTCCATTTCTCTTCAACTGAGAACCAAAGAGAGCTGAGCGAAATCTTCCCCTCCTGGGCTTCCTTGTCCTTATTCACAAATTGGGGAATGCAGGGAAGAGTGTGAGGTTTTGTGGGCCCCTGTGGTTCCAGGTCACATCCACTTCCCTAGGGAGGTGGCACAGGTCCAAAGGACAACATGGGTCCCACTGAGCCTGGTCTTGATGCCGCCTTTCCAACTGTGTCTGAGCCTTCAAGAGGCAACACCAGAAAGATGCCTGTCTTCCTCCCTCTCAAGGGCTGGGCTGGACCGAGTTTGCCTCACTAAAAGCACAGCCCTCTATTCTCAAAGGACCCTCCATTGTCTGTTCCCGTGGGCTTCTGTGCTGTTGTTAGGCCTGTGATTGCTGACCCCCTGGAGGGGGCGATTTCCCTCTCCCTCGAAAACCATTTTCTTGTCTTGGTAGAAGCAGACATCTGACACTTTAAGAGGGAGTGTGGCGCAGAGATGATGGCTTTAAATAACAGAAATTAGAGCTGCTGAGTCTGTCACAGCCATCGGACCAGCCCCTTCCCCCAGCAGCCCCACCCTCCCTCACCGTGCATTTCAAACAGCAGCCTGGCCTGTGGCTCCGGGCTGGGTGTGACCAAGCCATGCTGGGACCTGGTGAGCAGGGATCAGCCTGTCCCAGAGCTCAGAGTCTCCTAAAAGCCTAGTCCTGTGATAGAACATAGGACCGAAGGGCCAGGGCCCAGGCTGTGAAGTCAGGGAGTTTACAATCTGAGGGAACAGAAAGTTCCCTAGGAATCCAGGTGACACCCATCTCATTTTACAAGCTCAGCACACAGCACAGAGCTGGGGGTACAGCGAGGAGTCAAAAGGGTGAATGAAGGGACAGAGCCAGAGTGGGCCGTGTTAACAGCCTGGAGCCCTGGACAAGAGAGGTTGGTCCCTGGGTCCCTGGTTTGCACTTCCTGCTCACTCTGCCAAAGCCACAGTCCCCTCTTGTCTTTCTATACACACCCTCCAGTGGCTTCCCATTGCCTTCCAAATTGACAAATTCCACCTCTGCTCTTCTGCCACTACCCTCCATTTGCTCCAGTTTATCCCATCCACCAGCCCTCTTCCAGCCAGACTTGGTCCATTACCCAGGCTCTGCTCAGCACCATACCAGGGCAGTGGGGGAGAGAGGTGATGCAGGAGAGCCCCCACACCTTAAGGACCCACCTAGCTTTGGGTTCAATATATCACTGTGTACTAAGGTCTCAGGAATGTTGTTGGCATTAAATGGAATCAAGTAACCTTGAGCCTTGGTCCCTCGCCCTGTGAAATGGGCTACCATTTACTCTACTGGTTTTTCAGTGCTGGCTGCGAGGCCTTCCAGACATGCTGCCTGTCTGTGGAAGTGGGAAACCCTCCTGTGCTCAGTTAAGGACTAGATACCCTCGCCTGGGCCTGAGGCTGCCAGGGTCCTGGTTCAGGGCTGAGCCTCTCCTGGTCACAGTGGGAGCTGGAGGAACTTGAAGGTGGGCCCACAGAGGAGATTAAAGTGAGTGTTCCCTGGCGAGGTCTCAGGGAACACTAACACACTAGGCAAAAGAATCCCCACCCTGCTGTGTCCCTGCTTTGTGTGGCCTTGGTTCCATCTATTTTTTTTTTTTGGTCTGTCCCTTTAAGCTGAGACTCCTGGTCCATCCTCAGACTGCTGATTACCAGAACTGAAGGAGGCAGCCTTGGGAGGCTTTGCTGCTCTGCCCAATGATCTGGGACCCAGAAAGCACCCACCTGCAGCTTGGGAAGTCCGGGCTCTGGATTTGGTGCCATGGGTTCTGGTTGTCTGTGTGCCGGAGGACAGTTGGAAGCAGGAGGCTGAGGGGCCCGGTGCACATGGAAGGCCACGCTGTAGGCCAGTCCCCCACAGTGGCGGACAGTGGGGTCCTCACTGGCCCGGAGCAGAGGAAGGTTGCCACGGTAGCGGTACAGGTCCTCGTGCTCCCTCGCCTCCAGGTTCATGCGGGGTTGGTCTGGCCGTGGGTAGATGGGGAAGATGGCCTGGCCCACCCGCTGGACTGCCTGTCCTGAGGCCCCCTCCAGCCGCAGCGCCTCCACACGCAGCCGCGCATCATGGTGCCCATCATTCTTGCAGAACCCTGGGTGGGAAATATGGGATTTGACTGTGGTCTCTAGGGTCTCTCTCTACAGTGGGTGAGAAGGACAAGCAGGGACCCAGGGCAGCCTGGGCTGGCTAGCTGTTGAGTCAAAGCCCATCAGGCTTGGTGAAGTTTTCCCTGGGGGGTGAGCCCCCTCTCAGGTCCCTACCTGTAGCTCCTCCCTTTACCCATGCTGGGTACCTGGCCCCTAGAGGGAGGAAGGGAGGGCTCTTCACCTATGGGGCCATCGTGGGCCCTGAAACCACCTTGCCCCAAGGAAGAGTTCAACCTGTCCCCAATTCTGGTCACCTAAAGTCTGGGACTTGGTTTTCTCCTTCCCTCAAGTCTCTCTTCTACTGAGAAGCTGTCCTGGGTGGCCTCACAACCTAGGCATGGATCTTTTTCTCCCTTTCGCTTTTTTAGTCATTCTCTAAGATTCCTGCCTCTCTTTACCTGGTCTGGAAGCTTCTAGAAGGCAAGATCTGGGTCTCCTTGTCCCTGTTCATCCGCCATACCCACAGCTAAGTGATGCTCAGAGGTTCTAGGGTTACTCGCTGTAATGTTCACTACCCAAGACCGGATCCAAACCTACCTTGGGCTAGTGCTTTTAAATTCACACCTGCCCCTCCGTTTCCTCCTCACCTTACCCTATAGGAATAATACCAGCATCCTGAGTCATACTGAAGGAGACAGAGCCTCATAGAGGGCCAGTATCCCCAAGGCCACATGGGCCAAGATTTGTAGTTTAGTCTGAGGATCTGCACACCCCTCCCAGCACTCCTGAGCTTTCCTAGGGTCCCTGGAAGGGGCTGGGGGAGAAGCCCAGGGACCTCCTCTGCCTCCCACTCCCCCTCCCACTCCCACATTGTACCTTTGGGCAAAGTAAAGATAAATTTGTTCCTGGGGAGGGTGAGGCTTTGGCCAGGATCCTGCTGCTCAATGACATCAGTGACAGCAGAGCAGGCTTGGAGGGGGTCCCCATCATTCACCTGCAACTGTACCCCATCTCCAGAGCCTGCCAGCAGTGGGTTCTCAGCTGACAGCCGCAGGGCATATCTGCCTTTCTCGTTAAATCCCACACTCAAGACCTCGAACTCCAGGTCCAGTGTCTTTTCTTCAGCCTTCAGCCTCTGGCTTATCAAGGATGCAGGGAGCCAGGGTTCAGGCCCACTAAAAGCCATGGTCACGTTCAGGGCCTGACCCCAGGCTAAGCACTGCACTCCTGCCCATAGTCCCAGCCTGTGTCCTGTCTGAAAGCCTACAGGCTGGGTGTTCAGGGACACACCCACTTCTCTCCGTTTGTTTGAGAAACCAGGTAACAAGCCAGGAAGATGGGGCCTGACCTGGGGAACCAAGGCAGCCATTAATCTCTTTTAGCATTTGTTCCTTCGACAAATATTTATTGAGCATATACTCTGTGTGAGGCACTATTTTAAGCATTTGAAGTATAGCAGTGAACCAAACATTCCTGCCCTCCTGAAGCTTGTCTTCTAGTGAAACAGGAAAGGGAAGAAGACAAAAATGAATATGATATATAGAAAATAAGTAAATTATAATGTAAACTAGAAGACAATAAGTTCTATGGAAAAAAAAATAGAGCAGGGCCAGAGTTGAGAGGTACATGAATATATGGTATTCAGAATTTTCCATTTCTGGAAGAGCCTGTCTGTTCGCCCCCAAAGATTCTTAACTCAGTTGTGAACAGTGCTATAAGGGAAGGGGGATGTTGTCTATTCCCTGGGATTACTCCCTTAGCACCTGATTCTGAAATCAGTTCACCCACTTAATCAAAACACACAATATGGGGCACAGTTTCACTTTACAAAGAGCTCTGAGCCTTTCACACTGAAGAGTAGTCAAGCTGAAATCCATCGTTCCTGATCCTGGGTCTTGCTAATACCCAATGGAAGTCAGAAGATTCTGGAGACCTCTCAGTAAGAACCACACCTACACCTACTATTACCACCACCACCATCACCACCTCCACCAACCACATCATGAACACCACCACTATCTCCATCACCACCACCACCACCACCACCACCACCACCACCACTATCACCACCATCACCACCATCAATATCATTATCATTAATGATGTTTTTCATTGAGCAGCTACTAGATATTAGGCACTCTGCATAGCTCTCTGAGATAGATACAGTTATTTGTTGTTTTGTTCTACATTTTTTTTCAATTGTAGATGGACACAATTCCTTTATTTATTTATTTATATTTATACGGTGCTGAGGATCAAACCCAGAGCCTCACACATGTTAGGCAAGCATTCCACCACTACAACCCCAGATCCTATTTCCTGTTTTACAGATGAAGAATTTGAGGCTGAGACAACGTTAAGAAATTCATCTTAGGGCTGGGATTGTGGCTCAGTGGAGAGTGCTCACCTAGCATGTGTGAGGCACTGGGTTCAATTCTCAGCACCACATAAAAATAAAAAAGTTTTTAAAAAATTTTTTTAGTTGTAGATAGACACAATATATTTGTTTGTTTGTTTACTTTTGTGGTGCTGGGGATTGAACCCAGGGCCTTGTGCATGCGAGGCAAGCACTCTGCCACCTGAGCTATCTCCCCAGCCAAATATCTTTATTTTTATTTATTTATTTTTATGTGGTGCTGAGGATCGAACTCAGGGCCTCATATATGCGAGGTGAACACTCTACCACTGAGTTACAACCCCGGCCCAGATAAAGTTATTTTTTTAAAAAAGAAATTCATCTCAGATCACGTGGTCGATAAGCAAGAGTAGAGGGGATGTGGCTCAGTGCTTAAGCACCCTTGGGTTCAATCTCTGGTACCAAAAAAACCCACAAAATTACCATCTTAACCATTTTAAAATATTCAGAGTTCTAAGTACATTTTGCCTTGTTGTGCCAAGCACCTCCAGAACTCTTTTCATCTTGTAAAACAGAAACTCTATGCCCCTCCTTATGCCCTAGCCCCTGGCCACCATCCTTCCACTTTCTGTGCTATGAATGACTGCTCCAGGTACTTATATAGGTGGAACCATATGGTATGTGTCCTTTTGTGACTGGCTTATTTCATGCCCTGGAGAAGTGACTTTTGCTCTTGCTCACCTCCTTCCCTTGCTGCTGTGGTTTCCCCTGCCCAAACTGTCAGCTCTATTTGGAGCAACTTCCTCCTCCTTGCAGACTGGTAAAACTTCTACCTACCACCCGGGTGAGCAACTTGACCCTCTTCCTTTCCTGTCTTGCATGTTGACCTGTTCACCCTCAACTGAACATCTCTTCAGGAATCACATACATGTGCCCAGGACAGGTCTGGGCAACAGATGGGTGGCTGGGAATGGTTAAAGCATTATGGAATGAATGAATGAATGAATGAATGAAAAAACCCAACTCAGCTTCTGGTTTTGGTTGTTTTATTTGGATTTTATACATGAGAAGCAAAAAACATTTGGGCTTTTGAGTCAAACTTGGCTTCAGATAGAGGCATCTTGAGGCCTCCGTAGGCAAGCTGGTACCCAGAAAGGAGGGAAGCAGAGAGGGGGGTAAACAGAGGAGGCCGGAGATTCTGGTGCTAAGGTTTCTCTAGACCTGGCCTTAGTTCTGCAGAGAAAGTCTGGAAAGCTCAGTGAATTTTAGCATGGCAGGGCTGGATGACTCTCCCATTTTACAGCTGAAGAAACTGAGCCCAGCAGCGCAGAGCCCGTCCCTAGTCCTAGTCCCTAACCCCAGAATTCTTCCTACTCCTAGATATCTCCTTGGTTTTGCCTCTGGCAGTTTTCCAAAGGTTTAAACTCCAGGCAAGGCTGCTCTGGGTGGCAAGGCCTGGCTGCTCCCGACCCCAAAGAGTTGGGAGGGAGTGGGGTGGGTGGGGGAGCAGCCCTGGAAGGCTGACTTCCAAGCCACCTTCTGCAGCCCCAGCATGAGTGATTTAATGGGGTCTTGGACTCTTCTTTTTTCCCCTAAAGAATGGCCACTTAGAAGCCGCTGGCTTTGTCTAGAAGAGCCTGGGCCTGTAATTAGCCCACCCCAGAGTCCTTCTTCCTGTTTCCCACAATGGCTCCTTTCAGCCTACCCCTCCCCCAACACTCCCCAGGGTCCTTAGGGCTCTTGGACACCCATCCTCAAGCATCCACCTCCAGCTCCGTCCTTGCCCACCCACCCTGCCTCTGCTCAGAGCTGAGTCTTCCCGGTAAAGCAGGGACATCTGTGAGTCCTCTGGATCCTACCAGGACTTGGGGCTGCGACCATCATCCCCTGCCACAGAAGAAGAGAGTCTTGAGAGAACAGGTGGGTGGTGATGGGTGGACTCAGGTCTTCAGGCCCATGGGCTGAGGCGGTCACCGCTGCTCCACACAGTGGAACGCGGGCCTGCAGCCCCCGGGCTGCTCCTGCAGCTCCCCCGCCTTGCAGGTCCTGTCCCACTCCCTTCAGATCCAAGCACCCAAGCTTGTGGGGGTGACAGAATCACAGACTCAGGCTGGCATAGTGGAGCATGGCAGCCTTCTCTCTCTACTGCACAGATGGGGAAACTGAGATCCAGAGCAGGGAACGACTGTGGTTGTCGTTTAGATTGTAAATGGTAAAGACAAAATTAGAAGCCTTGTCTCCTCCCTCCACAGAGGGCCTATAAACTGTCCCCCATAAATGGCATTTGTGGTCCTGTCCCTATGCCTCAGGCCCACTCAGGCTGCACACCCTGCCCCTCCCTCCTGGTGTTCTACGCCAGGCTCTGTGGAGCAGCCCAGGCCTCCCCAAAGCCCTCTGCCCTGGCTTTAGCTGAGCAGAAACTGGAGGAGGGGAGCAAGGGCCCCCTGGGTGACCCCTGGGCTTGCCCCGACACCTCCCACCCTTGGCCAGCCTTGCCTCAGAGCACCTGAAGTTCCAGGGGTGGCAGGAGGTGGGGGTGGCCTCATTGGCAGCTCCAGCAGGACTGGCCTTTGCCTCTGCTTGCCCAGCTGTCCGCCTCCTACAGCAGGCTCCCAGGACTCACCCCCAGACGGTGGTGTTCCACTGGCCTGGGTCCTGCAGCCTCTGGGGGCTGGAGACAGACACCAGTCCTCCCTCGTGATCACCATAGTGCCCGGGACAGACAAAGCAGGTAAGAGGTAGATAGAGCAGGACTCAGCAGGGTCAGCCCTGGTCAGGCAAAAGCTCAGACTTAGGCAGGGCGGAAGCTCGCTTAGGAAAGGCACTGCCTGAAACCTTTTAGAGGAAAGAGACAAACTTTATAGCCACAGGGGTGAGGGTGGGGGGGCTAGGGAGAGAGAGACATAGTTAGGAAAGAATGAGGCAAAGAGAGAAGGAGAGACAGAAAGATAGGAGACAGACTGAGTTAGAGAGGGTGAGACAGAGTGACAATAATAGGGATGTAAAGTAAGATTGATGGACAGGGACAGATAGGCAGACAGAAGGACAATGAGACAAAAAGAAGCCAAATAGGAAAGATAGACATAGAGACCCACAATGAGTGCCCTGGGTGAGGTTCTGCTGACAGGTGCACCAGGCCTTGCATTTAGATTAACCAACTGAGGCGGGGGGCTTCCAGAGAGCAGAACATAGTCCAAGTTCTAGGAAGCGAGGTTTCTGGGGAAAGAGTAGCGAGGGGTGAAGGGAGTGGGGTAGGGGTGGTGTAGGGGTGACAATCTCTGGAAAAACTTCTAGCTCAGTCGCTGACCTGGCACATCATGTGATCTCTCTGGGCTTAAGTTTCCTTTGGCTGTGATGGAATATTGTGTGCAGTAGGAGACTCTGAGGTCTCCTGCGGCCTTATGATGTGACCTTAGCTCAGGCTCTGTCTTTGCAGCTAACTTACTGTCCATCCTACTGAACTTAGGACCTTTGCATCATAGTCCAATATGGCTTCTCGAGATCTAGCCATCGCAACAACATTTCAGCCAGCCTGAAGGAGGAAGGGGTAAAGAAAGCACCTCTCTTTTAAAGAACACATCCCAAGAATTAAGCTCAAAACTTTTTCTTTCCTTCCTTCCTTCCTTCCTTCCTTCTTTCTTTTTTTTTCTTTTTATACCAGGGATTAAACCCAGGGGCACTTAACCACTGAGCCACAACCCCAGTCCTTTTTTTTTTTTTTTTTGCTTAATTTTGAGACAGGGTCTCACTAGGTTGCTTGGAGTCTCACTAAATTGCTACGGCTGGCTTTGAACCTACGATCCTCCTGCCTCAGCCTCCCAAGCTGCTAG